AAAAAAAAAAAAAAAAAAAAAAAAAAAAATGGTCAAAGCGAAAAGATTCGTCGTAGTGAAACATTTTCAAAACAATCCAAAGCCATCAGATTTGAAACTGGTCGTAGAAGAACTACCCACTCTTCAGAATGAAGGTAAAAGCTTAGTAACGTGCATCTCGATTGTTAACATGTTAGTTGACGATTTGTTACCGATTAACCATGTGTCAGCACTTGGTATTGCGCACTGCGATCATACATCATTGCAACTAATATTTTTAGTAAAATAGAAAACATTCGTTATACACGCCTCTCGACAAAGTTAAGAGATCTTAAAATTGTTGGTCTCTGAACTCTCGCCATTTTCTGATTAAAAAGCATCGGGCAAGGACATCGGACTCATTTTGAAGCTTGAAACTTCTATTTTACGTTTCGAAAATTCAAACGGATATAGAGAAATTGCTTTCAAGATTGAATCCACTGTAAATTTGAAGATTGAGCAGTGTATTTACTGTTTTGTTATATCATATTATTTCTTTGTCTTTTTCTTCTTTTTTTTCTTTTTTTTTTTTTGTTACATAATACATTCGATGTCGAATGACCAGATTAATATTTAATAAATGCAAATAATCCAATGAAAATTGTAATTACTGACAAATGTACATATCTTGCAATGATATCTACAAATTATGCAAATCTTGTATGCTTATTAAGATACTTTTAAAAATAAAAATCTACATTCAAGATATGTTCATTATCTTGAATTTAAATTAAGACTTTATTAACTGACTTTTCGCTGCTGCGATTTTTACGAAGTATGTATTTCGATTTTTAAGAAATACGTATTCCGTTGATAAGAAAACACGAACTTTGAAAAAAAAAAAAAATATATATGCTCTACTGTTGAAGAATTATAGTTAAAAAAGAATAATACGTATTTTCTTTATACCGCACGCGTCGCGTTTATAAAAAGAAGATACAAACAGGGAAGAATATTGTTTAACACATTGTTGACCAAATTTACACAAAAGCTATCTCATGTCACCAACTATTATTTCGTAATTGAGTATGAAAGTGAAATAATCTAAATAAACTTCAATATACTTTATTTATACTGAATGAACTTAAATAAAATTTTGTATATCTCTTGTGTATATAATGTATATTATATTTCATACATATAATATATTTCGGTAATTTTCTTTTCTAATCTTTCTTAAGACGTGGTCTTTTAGTTGTCCTGAAAGCCTGAAAGGAATATGAATCAATGTAAAGAACTCTTTTAGAAATACCAGAGATACCACTATTACTATAATTTATTAATTATTTTTTTTTTTTTTTTATAATAAAGTGAACACGGTTGAACACAACGAAGAAAGATTTTACAATATCCTGTATTACTCTGAATTAATGCAAGTGCAAACATGAATTAATTCGTGATTGGACAACAACGTTTCCGGCATGAAAACACGAGTTAACTCGTGGTCAACAATATATTAACAAGAGAATTTATTCTCTACATTTTAGTTTTTCAAGTTGTAATATTTTTCTATTCTGTTGCAGCATTTTTTATTCATTTTGTCGTAGAATAATTTTAAATATATCAATAATTCAATATACTTTATGTAATGATGATTATTCACAACGTATGCTAACGAATGCTAATTGTATGCTAATTGTATGCAGAGTAATATAAAGATAGTAATATAGGAAATAAAGTAATATGATAAAATAATATTTAAATTGCTTTCAGAGTTCCTTGTTCAAGCAGAATATCTTTCTGTCGATCCTTACATGCGAGTTTATACTCAGAGATATCCAACAGGTATAACAATGATTGGCATACAAGTAGCCAAAATCATTGAATCAAAGAATACAGATTTCCCAGTAGGGAAAAGAATTATTGGTCCCTTGGGATGGAGAACACACACGATTATAAATCCATATGGCCCTGAACATGACTTCCTAGGAATAAAGCCGATGTTGGTACCTGATATAGGAGATCTATCACCATCACTGTTGTTAGGAGCTTTAGGATTGACAGGGTAACGAATATCATTCATTTAATTTACAATCCGATCTGTTTTTGTATAATTATTTGATTCTTGAACGTAACACATTTATCTGTGTTCCAAGCAATTTTTTCTTAAATTGTAATTTTTTCTATAGTATACCCTCTTTCAGAATCTCAGCATATTTTGGCCTTCTAGACATTTGTAAGCCAATACAAGGTGAAGTTCTTGTTGTGAGCGGTGCAGGAGGAGCTGTTGGCTCACACGTTGGTCAAATAGCGAAGAAGATCTTTGGACTTACCGTTATTGGCATTACTGATTCAGATGAGAAGTGTAAATGGCTTGTAGAAGAACTTGGTTTTGATTATGCTATTGATTACAAAAAAGAAGACGTTGAAGTTTCTTTAAGAAAAGCTGCACCAAAAGGAATTGACTGCTATTTTGATAATGTATAGTTTTTTTCTAGCATATTATATATATTTGTATTTGTGTTTGCTTCAGCAATAGGTACACTAATATTAGTATATTTATCATAACTATGTTATAACAGGTAGGAGGAGAAATTTCCACTAGTGTTATATACCAGATGAACAATTATGGTCGTATAGCTGCATGCGGATCTATTTCTTCGTACAATCTAGATTCTTCGTCGTTAACAAAATCGACGATTCTGCAACCGCCGTTTGTGTTCAACCGATTGAAAATGGAAGGTTTCTTGGCGACTGATTGGAAGGACCGTTGGAACGAAGGTATACAAAAGAATCTTCAATGGATACGCGAGGGGAAACTTCTCTATCGTGAAACAATTACAAATGGTTTTGAGAACATGTTCGATGCATTTGTTGGCATGTTGGAAGGGGAGAACATTGGCAAAGCTCTTGTTCAAGTCTGAACAGATACACAAGAATTGTTACAGTCTGTTTGTAACTTCTAAAATACACATATTTTCTCTGTTTCCCTATTCAATTTTTTTTGGTCATTTTTATAAAATTCTTAAATCTTAAAAACTGCAAACTTTTACTTGCGTTTGTCACAGACAGAAGAACGAGGTAATTAGCATAGACAGTTTTATTGCAATATATTACACAGATCATAATGCATCACAATGAATAAATTACATTTGGTTGTTTTGATGCCCGAGAGCATGATCCTTAAACCTTAGGTACATATCCTTTTGTAATCGTAAACGTTACGCCTAGTACAACCTTATATGAATACCTTACAGAAAAATTACGCAAACTTACATCCATTTCTACTTACAATATAATACATTTCCTGGATTTAGTGGAAATTCCATTATGCCGAAGCTTTCTCGCGAGAGATAAAAATTTGACACAGAAATTTCGGATAATTCAAACAGTAAATATACTCGATTGTGATTTACATATACAGTCATTATGGCAAATACTTCTCACGGTACAAATTAATTTTTCTGCAATTCGAGACATCTCGCCGACGTCTCTCGAACGTCACGAAGTAAAAAGTTATTCAGATAATAGTTTCAACGAAACTCGAAAGAACGATACTTTCTTTAATTAAAACTTAACTTTTCATTACGAAAGTGAAACAAACAATCGTGTCTTCAAGCTTTCATTGTCGTAGATTTAACTCATACACGCTAATAAGATCCACTTTCGCGAATCGAACGTAGCACGATGGAACATCTGTACAATGCTGTCGCGGTCAATTCATTTTTGCTCGTTCATTCTGTTCTTTTTAAACGTTAAACGATAAATCCCATCGAGACATCGATAAAAATCGGTGGTTCGAATTTTCTATAATTTAATTAAATTAAATTTCGTTCGTTCGAACGTCAAAGGTATAAGTGTAACTTTTTGTAACTTTGAAGCTTAAAACTCTGAACTTAGATCGTAGATGATCCTTTTAAAAAAAAAAAATTATCCCGTTACGATTTCATCACGATTCTTTTTTATCGGTGCCGTACATTACTGCTCGTTCTGGTCGTCGGAAGTTGAGGCTGATGATAAGTCGCAAACGACGAAAATTACATCTATACAAAGATGAGCTCCGTGAGTTAAAAAAGATAATATCATTGCAGTTGCTAAATGCAGAGAAGATCGTGTTACAGTCGAAAGATTGGAAATCATCTGGAAGTTCAAGATCCCGGGATGCGCGCGAAAGGAATCTATCGATTCCGCTTGGAACATTTATCAAGTTCGACATGTTCTTTACGAACAAATGATACGAGACCTTCGTACACCTGTGTACATATCCCCGATCATTTCGATCACTCGAGGTCGCTTTAACTGCACGTTAGGAAAATCGTGACTCAATAGTTTCTTTTGTCGCTTTCGATCTCTTTTCGTATGTCTATTGGTATATCAAACATTCACAGTCAATTTATATATATATATATATATATTTTTTTTTTTAACATATAAAATACTCGCGACCTCGATCGACCCAAAATCTTTTGTGCCCAATTGTAGACCAAGCTTCAGAATTTTCTCCTGCGAATCCCGAGTCTAAATATCATGAACCATTATTATTTCATCGACACACTTTGATTACGATTTAGGCGGGGAGGGTGGGGAGGTGTGGCGAAACTTCCATTCGTTGGAATTCACGCGTGTGAATTCTTCTCATCGCAGTGTTCGCCGCTTGTTGATTGTTCCTGAATCACGAGCCACATCACGATCGTGCCCAGCATCAAACGAACACGTTCCCGTCGGGATCACCGCTGGAATTTCATCACGTGACATTGATCTCCTCGTCCTCCTCGTTCTCCGTTTGTTCCTCCGGCCGTTGAGGGCTCGTCAAAGGGCTCACGTCGCTCAGATCCATCCTCGGCCTGTCCCCGTCCGCGTCGCTCAGGTCCGGGTTCGGATTGTTCTTGTTCGGCAACGTTTGCTCCCGAGAACCGCCCGTTGCCAGCAGCTCCCTCTCCTTGCTGTTCCTCCATTTCATTCGCCGATTTTGGAACCAGATTTTCACCTGAAAATTCGCGATTCGTGAAACTCATGTGTGTGTGTGTGTTTACTTTCGATGAGATAATTCATCGGTTATCTATCTCACTCGTGGTAATATCATATAACGCACTGAGTGGCAGGTGCATCGATGATTGATCGAATCGAAGTCGGAACCGATCGTGTGGTGGACGAAAGAAAGAAAAATGTGGTAAATTATGCAGATGCGTTGAAATCGAAATTGATGGACAGGTTGTTCGTAATTAATTGTCCATAGTTATTTGTAATGAGGCGAAGCGTTCGTGCAGGAACGGATTCAATATTAATCAGAGCAATTCACTCTAATCGTGTCAGTCGTGAAATGGAATTCTCCCTGGTTTTTCCCTTCTTCCTTGCGAGCATTAAATAAAGATTGCACAGGCACGTTCCCCTTTCTGTTACAACGTGTCGATGATTTCACTCTTCTTTCTTATTTACATCAAATCCTTTTCTCTTTCCCTTTTCCCTTCCGTTTATTTACATGAAATTACTCAAATTCTATTATATGCAAATAACTCTCGTTAACAATCAGACATTACTATTTGAAGCTATAAATTGTTATCAAATTTATCGAACTACTACCTGTCATTAATATAATTTACATAATTTATATTTCACAAAAATTTTGGAGAAGTCTGACAACAAGTCATCAACAATAGTCGGACAGGACACCGTGCTTCAAAGGATTAATACTCCTTTCTAACTCTCCTAAATTTCATGTAAGAAAAGAAATCAACATTTGAAGCTACAAAAATTATCAACTTATCTAATTACTACCTGTTATTAATATAATTTACATAATTTATATTTCACAAAAATTTTGAAAAATTCTGACAACTCTGAACAAGTCATCAACAACATCGGTCATCATCCCTGAAAGAGTTAACACTTCTCTCTAATTACCCTAAATTTCACGTACAGAAGAAACCAGCATTCGAGGCTACAAAAATTATTATCAAATTTATATAATTAACTATCTCTGTCATTAATATAATTCATATTATTATCATTAATGTAATTTATATAATCTATATTCCACAAAAATTCTGGGAAAGTCTGACTAATATCGGACATTATCCCTGAAAGAATTAATACTTCTCTCTAATTATCCTAAATTTCACTTATAAAAGAAATCAGCATTCGAGGCTACAAAAATTATTATCAAACTTATATAATT